CATGGCTCATCGGTTTACTTGCTAGCGTAGACTACAGCGATCCGAACTATCTAATAAACCTTCATAAACCAAGGATATGCGTACTTATATGATTTTTGTTTTAGTAAAACGAAAATCATAGTGAAGCTCAGAAGTTCTGCTGTTCACTTTCTTACTAAAGTCCTGTTCAGTTACAACTCAGCGAACCTGATATGACCTGGCTGTAGTCAGAATGCTGATAAAATCAGCCATTCAGTGTGCTTGTTTCCATAGAAGTATGAAGAACCGAAAAATGCGAAATTATTTTGCTTATTTACACGACCATGTTTTGGAAATAAGTTTTGACTTTATTGTTAGCTTAAAATAAGAATACTAGCTCACCAAACCCACTCTAAAAAGAGTTGCCAAAATCAACTAATGACTGCTGACTAGCAAATAAATCTCTTAAGGACGCACAAAAGAATCACACGCACCATTGACTATATATGAGCAAATATTAGTGCTACCTATGCACATGTGATGAGGGATTAAGTTTGTAAATGACGCTTCATTATCATTGAATTAAAATGTTTTCGATTAGTTTATACGATAGTATTGGAAGTTTATAGACTCAAACAAAGCATGATATTGTTTCTTCTGCGCAGATAGTAAATCCGTTTCTTGCGTTACGACGCTCTTTGTCTAATTCTCCTTCAAATTGGAAAACTCTATCTTCTTCGCTCATCGCTACTAGTTTTTAGCTCTGATAAAAAAAAACTTGTAGCCACTATCCGAAGTAGGAAACCGAGATGTATTTTTTAGAAGAGAATATGCTCCGAATAGTCAGAAGCTACACATGTTGAAAACTGGAGTGTCAAAACTGGATGGAGTTTCGATGGTGTCTTAACGTATTCCAATTTGTCCGCGTCGGCTTCGAACCACGGACGTTGTTTCAAAAATGTCATTTTTTCTGGGTTCTCAGAAAAATGATCATAACTGCGATAGAAAACATCTTGCAGAGCCGTGAGGCGTCTCATTTTGTATAGATCTTTGCTCTACAAGATTAGTGATATGAAAATCTGAGTGCTTAAAAAAATAGAAAAAATTTTGAAAATTTACAACTTTTTCAACGTACTATTGCGAAGTTTAAAAGTTCTTATCTCAATACAACGAAAGGTTGTGCGGAGCCAGGAGCAATCTTACTTTATAGACGACACTTCACTCCACCATGCACCATGTTTAACTCAAAAACGAAAATTTTTTCAAAAAGGGGAGTTACGTTTAATCTTTAACTGAGCTTGATATCAGTTGCATCATGTTCCCGAAGAGAAAGCTGGATAAAACATGGTGAAATTAGCGGCTAACTGTCTCAAGAAATACTATTTAGAAGGGATTTTCTTGTTTCCAAAACTTGTTTGTTTTGTGGTATTAGACATAACACTTAAGCGAAACAGTTTCTAGTATCTTAAATAGTAATTTATAGGTTTGAAATTTATTTTTAAATCAAAAAAGTTAAACTTTAACAGAAACGGATTTATCATCTGCACAGAAGAAACTGAAGCTAGAAATTACTTTCAAAATCCATGCATGAATAAATTAGTAGAAAAAAATCTCTTTTCATCATGTACATGAAGCGAGATAAAAACCATATATTCCTCGTGACTACCTCATGGTGTTTTCCCTACTATGCCTTCACTTCGATGACTGTATATTGCGTTGGAAAATAAATGCTCAAAATCACGTTTTTTAAAAACAAAGAATTTTTTCTCATAATCCAAATATTTTAACATTCAACATTCACATACAGAAAATTGAAAAAAAAAATTGAAAAAGCAAATACATTATGTAGATTTTTTGTCACAGCCATTGAGTTACAAAAAAATATTACTAACTTATGATGTCTCGAGTAACAGTACTTTATGAAAAAGAACTTAAAAAAAACAAAAAAATACATTCCGTGGGTTTTTTTGTCACAACTGTTCATTTAAAATGCATTTTTTTGCAATTTCTTGTATATAACGTTAAATGTTAAAATATTTGGATTATGAGAAAAAATTCTTTGTTTTTGAAAAATGAATTTTGGGCACTTATTTTCCAACGCAATGTTTTTTTGAGTACATTGTTAAAAAAAGAACGAATCAGATAAAATTTGAAAATTGAGCAAAATGAAAATTTTCAGCACAACTATCAAAGCTCATTTGTCTACTACGAAATTACGTGCAGTTTGTAGAACTAATAATCTTTATTACTTTAAATAGGTTTCTGAGTGGGGGAGAGGGCCCTTAAGATCTTTTTTTTATCGCTAGGAATATGTGGGTTATGCGCAGAAGGGTGTCATAAAAGTGAATTTAAAAAAATATCGTCAGATCTGCAAGAGAATGCTTCTATCTGTGTTTAGATCATATTTTAAAACCGTTGATATCGAAAACTAAAACGAACAAGTAACTTTATATTTTTTAGTCAACCACAAAACTAAATTATAGGAATTTACATCTGTCATATTATATCACTGACAATGAGACGTCTAGTATTTGACATGCTCATATAGAAACGAGAGAACAAACTCTGATTGTTGTGTATTTTATTTTTAGACTAATATGCTATTGCAAAAAGAAACGCTATCACATCTGATAAGGTGAGACCACCCAAATGAAAAATAATTAAATATATTTGTCCATTTTTTTGACCAAAATGGAGAGATTTTTTGACGATTCTTTGCTATTTAATCTTTTTCAAATAATCTTTCTTTATACATTTCATTCGTTCTTTCTATATTTCATATGTACTTCTTATTTCATATAAACAAGAACTCATCCATTTTGCCATAATATTCTACAACAATATTGCTCTTCATGACCATTATAAAAGGCTTAGTAGTGCTTAAAGGGGGGCTGTACCCCATTTAGATTTCCCTCTAACGTTCCCGTATATGTCCTGGAGTTTTCTCAGCTTACTTATTTATTATTTAGCTGAGAAAAACATTAATTACTTAAAAAATTGTTGTTAAATTTTTGAACAAGGGACTATTGTTAAAAAATTCCTGTCCATTTTCCATTCATCATAAAAACTTGACTCATGCCTAGATCGACAGAGAAATGTGTGTAGTATATTCATCACGAGAAAATATACAAATAGTTTTGTTCTTTCCCTCCTGTTTATCGGCTAATTAGTACTAGTTAACGTTAATTTAGCCTACTCTACTAGCTTAAAGTCCCATTTGTAAAATAACGACTCAACAAAAAGTTCAAGCAATACCTCACCTGATCGAGAATTTCACGGGCTACAAGACAGGCTACCTTTAAGTCCGTTTTTATTCCACTGAAAATCTCAACACAGTCTTTGTTTCCAAAAAACATAGCAAGTTGTTGAATTCACTACTGTTAACGCACAAAAAAACTTAGGCTTAGTAGAGTACAAAAAAACTTTAAGCTAGTAGAGTACGCTAAATTAACGTTAATTAGTACTAATTAGCCAATAAACAGGAGGGAAAGAACAAAACTATTTACATATTTCGGCTGGAAATGGGTTTTTACAAACACCTTGAACCAAATTTCGCTCGAAGGAAGCTTTTTCAAAGAAAAGTGTGGGTACAAACGTTGTTTAGAAACAGATTCCCTGGAATATGAACGACGGATTTTTCGAAATTCGTTAAACTCGATATTTAAATTGAAAATACGGTTTTTAAAATTTTAAAATTTAGTAAAATTTAATTTAAAAACCGAGTGGAAAGAATTTTGAAAAATCTGTCGTTCATATTTCTTCTGGAGAACTGTTGTACCCACACTTTTCTTTGAAAATGCTTCTTTCGAACGAAATTTAATATACTCTTCAAGGTGTCCTCTACAAACTGAAAAAAACGAATGAGGTTGTATTGCAAACAGATACATTGCGTTGGAAAATAAATGCTCAAAATCACGTTTTTCAAAAACAAAGAATTTTTTCTCATAATCCAATTATTTTAACATTCAACATTCACATACAGAAAATTGCAAAAACAATTTAAAAAAGCAAATACATTATGTGAATTTTTTGTCACAGCCCTTGCGTTACAAAATATTACTAAATTATGATGTCTCAAGTAACAGTACTTCATGAAAAAAACGTTAAAAAACAAAATACATTTCTTTGGTTGTCTTTTTTATGTCTGTTCATTCACTTGTTGATTATTTCTGTTCTCATTCTTCAGCAATCTAATTCATCATTCAACATTTTGTCGCCAAGTAAGAATGTTATAAGAAGCAGTAGCTCGGCTATGTTCTTACTTGTATTATTATTTTGAATAAAGTTTATATAAAAAAAATACATTCTGTGGGTTTTTTGCCACAACTCTTCGTTTGAAATGCAAATATTAATATAGATTATGATACAAACAAAAACACTTATTCTTTTTTTACTAAAAATCAACAGGTGAGCAATAGCGAAGATTTTTGGATTAAAATTTGTAGATATGTGAGTTCAACACTAGTGCACTGCATATTGGCTTTTTTTTACAACGTACACTGTTAAAATACACAGATTCCGCTAAAGTTTGAAAGGATGAACTATAGATTTGCGATTTTCTTCTTTTGTAGCTATAAAACGGAATTCATTATGATTGGTGAAATAATACTGGTCTTGTTTGTGTTCTATGTTTTATATGTTCAGCATAAAATGCACCAAACTGATGCTTTGCGTATGTTCACTGATCTAAATCTTTTAAGATTAAGACATTTTGTTCATTTAGAATCTCGTTCAACTTCTACTTCAAATACTCCTGCAGACAACATTACAATAACTGCTATCAGTAACGAACATGCTAACAAATCTGTTCAAACTGATTTTGATACTTCGTCAGGCATATTACAAGGATCGATACTCGAATCAAGTAGACCGAAAGTTCAGTTAACGACAGTATCTAGTACATCTACGAAAACTGATGTGACACCACGTGGTTTGAACAAGTCAGACCGACAAATCAACAAAAACGTATTCCACCAAAGTGTTACGATCCGACATCCCAAATTGATAAGCATATTGTCGATTGTCTCTCTAACTACCGATCAATGACAAATAAAAAATCATTGACTTTTGTTCAACAACCATTTCAAGCAACTGTTGATGATTCCGAAACACTTGTAGTTGTTTTAAATGAATTAATTCATCAACTGGATATGAAGTTAAGTTTTACAAGTTCAAATTTTAATTATGATGACAGTGATTATCGTACAGCTTGTGGCATTGCCGATTTAGGTAGTTTCCATTCGATTCTTACTTCTGCTGATGATATTAAAACAGCAAAATTTAATTTTCATTTGAAATTAATTTATAGTGAAATTGTTCGAACAGGTGAAACACTGAAAGATTTTATACTGAATTTTTTGTATTCTATTGCATCTACTATTAGAACTAAAACAGAATTTATACGTGTATTTTCTGTTGAAGAACATCAATCTAATCAAATAAGTGTTAAATTTGGCATTACAGCAAAGAAAGAAAATGAAACAAAAGTTTTGGCTGAAAGTTTAAAGTCAAAATCACAAAATTTATCTGATAAAAATAATATTTTAAAATATGTTATACCAGAATCGTATACGTACGCCCTTGAGCCAGCTTTAATTGCTTTACAGTTACAAAAATCAGATTTTGAACCTAAGTACAATATAGATTATAAAAACTTCTCAACGCAAATTGATCAACGTGGTCGTCGTGATTACTATTTTCCCATTGGTTGGTATCGACACGCATTAAAAGTAGAAGATAAGTATTCAAATGATAAATTATGGTTGAGAATGAAAAATATCGACGGTGAATGGAATGTGGCTTATCATGGTACAAAATCAATGGACGTAAAAAGTATTATACGGCAAGGTCTATCACAAGATAAGGTTACTCGTGACGTTTTTAGACAGGATGCCGTTCGAGAAGTCGGATTTAGTGCGAATGTTGAAGGTATTTATCTTGCCACTCATTGTGAAGGCGGTGTTTCTCCACAATACACAGACCCTTTTGAAGTGAAAAATAATAATGGTGACAATATCAAATATAGAGTTGTCCTTCAATGTCGAGTACAACCGAATAAATATACGGAACATAATGGGGCCACAACGACTGGCTCTGCATTAAGAGTTTTGACGAAAAAGCCATTAGACCTTATGGAATACTGTTGAAAGAAGAAAAAGCATCTTGGAGTATGCGAAATATCCTAAATATACAATTTTGGTAGCTCTCATTTTATATACTATGATATTTTTTGATATGACTATGACAAATTTTTAGTTTACTATAATTGTTTTAAAACAGATCTGCATATTTTTGGAGTCTTGTTGTCCATTTTTCTCATATTGTAATTCTTAAATTAATTTCTATTTTCTCAGTTACTCTACTAAAAATGATATCATGGCCGTTTGCCTTTTTCTTTTTTTGTTCTGTACTTTTTCCTCAGTCACAATAAACATTTATATATATATATATATATATTTATTTGCGATTAGCTAGTGCCTAACGGGCCTATCAGTACAAATAGAGAAGAAAAACATAAAAAAGTAAATAACTGGCACTACATTGCAGAGAAAAGAATAGATACGAAAGTCTCGATATCAGGACGTAAACATTAGGAATAAAACACCAACATTATAAAAGAGATTCAGGAAAACATTGTAGTAAATTAATGGGAACTGATTGTGGGGCATAAAGAAAGTCCCCCAAGTTTGATAGTAAAATGACACATAGGCTCTAAGAAAGCGTGAAACTGGTTGACTTTCTGTAAAACCTTGAACACCACCCAGAAGTTTAACATTTTGAGTCCATTTTGATGGTGTACCGGGTCCTCCACGCTTTAACATACTGCCAAAAGAAAACTATGTCATTGTGATCATCCATTAAGTGTTAACAACGAGCGGGCTTTCAGATTTTGGATAAACTCAAACCTATCGAAGACAGATTTATTTGTTCAACTTTAACAGACGTAACTAATATTGAACGCGATAAGCTTCTGTTTAATTTTAGGCCGATGACCAAGTGAGATACACTTTTTTGAAGCTAAATAAATGTACCATTTAATCTAGATGGAAGCGTCCGGTGCACGATTTTTTTCGTCCTTGCTAGATATTCAAAAATTCTTAGTGAAATTGTGGATGAATATTATTAAATACTACCGAATACTATTAAGATCCTGACAGATTCTAACCGAGTCTTGAGAAAACCTTAGACACGGTAACCTATATCTTCGTGAGCCAGTCAAACAATCAATCATGTTTCTCAATGATTTTTAAATAAAATGTTTTGCCATCTCACTTCATTCTTCTCTAAAACATTTCTCAATTTCAGGCCGATATCTTCTATCATAAAATTAAACGTTAAATTGCTTGAATAAAAGATCATTTTTGATTTTTGTGATGCAGCATTATTTACGCATTCTTCCTGTATACTAACTATCATTATGTACACAAAGTTTATTAATATAAATAAAAAACCAAAGGGGAAATTTAATTGGCTCGCAATGTATCTTTTTCACTATTCATAACTTACGTGAAAATGAGTAGAGAAACTAGGAATTATTGCACTTTTTACTTTTAGCATATAAAAACAGTGTTGCGCCGGTGTTAATATATTGCTATGGTAAATCTTCATGTTATAAAATCGTTCTCCTAAGATTCCTTAGAAAACCGATTGTTGAAAAATAACTTCAAAAGATTTTTTTGGTTATGAAAAGATCCTTTAAAGTCTTGGTTATCGAATGGCGAGAAGCACATGTCTGCATCGCTTTTCGATCTCGAGGTATTCAAAAAATAGCCTGGGGAATTCTATTTTGAAAAGCATAATAGTAAAATAAGTCTTGTATTAGAACAGAATATCGCACAGAACTGGCCGAGGTTTAGTTTTGTTGGAAAATATTTGCTCTACATTCCTGATGACTCAAAATAATCTACCCATACCTTTGCAATCCGTGCCAAAATTTAGAAAAGCCACAAAGATAAAAAACGCCTCGACCTATGTATCTCGCGAATATTTGATTTAAAAGTACATCATGCTCGTGCTTAAGAACACCGTATTGTATATGACTCGATGCAGAATTGTCTGCTCTACGAAATGAAGCACAATTTATTTTGGGACTGCTATATGAATGTCTATATTTACAAAATATTGAAAAACCAAATATTTAAAAATATAGAATATTTTAGTGTTGTAATTTGAAGTCATAGATAATTTCGTGTATTATTGTCTAAAAATATGATCTTATAGACTGAACATCCCTCTTTCAAACACGACGTGAACGGTTAATAGAACTTTGATGGTTTCTGAGAAAATCAAAACATACGAAAATTTGTGAAAATTAACATTTTTATGAGTGCATTGGCGACCCCGAATAGAATTGTCTATAATCTCTTAAAAACATCTATAATCTGTTTAACGATAATTGTCTTTCCAGTTACCGTTATCATCAATCAGAAGTTAAGAGTCCATCCATTAAGTGTTAACAACCAGCGGGCTTTCAGATTTTAGATAAACTCAAACCTATCGAAGACAAATTTATCATCACCGTTACATATACCGTTATCATCACTTAATATATCATTAAAACAACAGATGTCGTACGACAGGGATGCTAAAATATCTGACCAACAGGATTGCTTATTCTTGTGTCAAAGGAAATTCCTTTTAATTCTTCGTTAAAGAAGAATGGCTCACCAGCAATAATAAAATCAACAAGAACGCTATGTAATGAATTACTACCGAGGTCATGCCAAGCATGGCCTGTTACATAATCACAAAACTGTTGTATCGATGATGTCTGACTTTTGTGAAGAAACAAATCAATTTGTTCTTGTGAAGGTGTAGAATTCGGTCCAAATGGATGCTTGAATCTTTGCAAAATTTCGTCTCGTACAGCGTGAGTACCAAGTACGAATTTGATATCTGTAGGATGATTTCCTAATTGAGTAATCAAACAATAGTTAGTGTTCTCATTTTCTTGTTTTTCTTCACGTTGTGCTTCTACACTTGCTGCAAATTCATCATGAGACGTGGCAACGATGTGAGCATCTAGCAGGAATCCCACCAAGAGTTTATGATTAGGAGGCCAAATATGACGACTGGTAACTCGACGAATTTCATCAATGTTAGCTACTAATAATTTGTTTGATTCCTCAATTGCCACTCGACATAGATCAAATATATTATATTGTGCACTAGAAACAGCAACTGGTTTATAGTTATCGTTAATATATTGAACTAAATAATCTGTCAGTTTCTGAGTAGATGAAAAGTGTGTTAACGAAATGTCACGTGACCGACCGCCACTACTGATGCTTCCATGTTGTTGTCAATACCAATCGATGGTTACATATTGCTTATTGTCGAGAGAGCATAATGGAATAGTTTGTTGAATTCGTAGACCTTTGTAATGTCAGAAGTCGAACATTCTAACGGTTTTGATATGATCTCAGAACTCATAATAATCTAAGATTAATACATGCACCGATTGCATGATCTTAAATAATTCACTTTCTTATCGTTGATTAATGATGGCAATTTCGAACTTTTGTCAGACAGCAAACTTTTAACAGCGTCTAATAGACTATAAATACGGCTTTGGTCAGATGAATTTCTAACAAATTTTCCTTATTTTGTCTCTATAAGTCTTTTTTTGACTGCATCTTGCTTCCTTAGACGTTGCAGAGATAGTCAGAAAGCGAATGCTCCTTTACTGAAGTAGGAAGAATAAACCGCACTCTGAAGATATCTAAAAACGCTTTTATATGGATTATTCCCACAAAAAAAGCACCAAAATGTATTAAAACGCTATATCTGTTCAGGCGTAGAAATTTAAAACTGACAAGATAGTAACAGCAGCTGTTACTATCTTATCAATACCAAAATGTAATTGCAAAATACCTGATGTTCTATCTCTACACTCTTTCTATCTGCTTCTAATTTATGTGCAGCTACTAGCAGAGGTAGTCTGTACATGCTATTAACATCGAAGTGATCGATGATGTCTTTGTAGAGAAATATAAATACTATATTTCTAGACGTTACGTAATTTACAGTGATTTTTCATGTTTCGAATTATTACAGAAATGTCCCACACATCTTTTTTCTTATAACTACGGAACGCTATGTGTAGGAATCTTGAAATTTGGCGAGCATATTCTTAAAATCAGTCTTGCGTTTATTAATTGTTGCATCCCTATTATCAACAGAATTAATACCACCTCGTATCAATATGACATTACACATTCTCGTATTGTGGCCCACACACACAAAACAGATACAATAAATTTCTTTTTGTATATTATGTGGCATACAGGTTAGATTTACAACACTTGCTGACCAACAGCGTTTGATGACTTTCGCCTGGTCGGTTTACGTTAAATCTAAGACTCGTCATGTGTTACTATAATTGAAGAAGAGGAAAATTCTAGGCTTCTTTAAAAGAATCAATACTATATTTATGTTTATATCTATGTTACAACAGTTAACTAATTGGTGCTCTAGAGTACTCCACAATCGATAACTCCGGTTTTAGACTGTCTTTACATCTCCGAAGCAAACTGAAAACAGTCAGATGAAAGCTCGTTATACAGACAATTAAGCTGCTGTATATTCGTTGCTATTAATTTGTCCTGTTCTCTGCGCTTCTGGCACTCCCGTTCATTAACATCAATTATGAGGGTCAATATACTTATTATCTGTTTCTATCGATTTGGCCGTAATGTAATTGGTCGCGATGACTGAATCGATTAACTTCTCCATGTTCGATGTTTGGCATTACTCGACAAAAGGGATAATTAACAAAGAAGAGTCATACTTTATACTTCTGTCATAACTTCCTCCTGCGAAAATTCCAAATTCTAGCGCAGACCGAAAACATGCATAATTTCACGGTTTCTAGATGTCAAATGCGGAAAAGTTTTCGAAAAAATGGTGTGGTCGTATGAGAAGGCCATGGTCTTCTAATATGGATTTTACGGAATTGTCTCAAAGATGGCCTTCGATTATGGTGGAGGTCTTTTGGTCATAATAGCGAAACAAAAGGTAAATGATTTGTTGAAGAACAGCTGACATTAACTATAAAACGTTACATTCTTGTGTTTTCCTGATCTATTAAGTGTGTTTAATAGGCATTACTATTAATTATATAAACACTAACATTGCTGTTCAAAATCCTTTTCAGAAAGTTGAAGGTATGCACATTCAGCTACTAATTACCGAATTAAAACAACAACAACAAGAACATAGTGACACATCAGAGTTATGCGCCACAGTCACTGGTGACATTTCTCACCAGCAAAACCTGCGAAGTCAACACTACTAGTTCTTTCTTGGCGATGATATCTAATAGAAAAAGCAGCAGTTGATGCAAGACACGTATACCACCATTTTTATCAGTTCTAGATTCCTGCTCCTTGTTAAGACTTAAAAAAAGGTGACATATAGCTATTATTCTGCGTTTACACCGTAAAAAACTGAAGAGTAACGTTCGATGTAGATAAACCAGGAAGAAAATTTCTAATGTACCGTTATAGAACATTTTGGTAATTGCAAAATGCTATATGGAACAAAGTCATTTTAGAGAAAAGATGGAGGAAGTATGTAGTACAGATTTTAAAACTTCTGAGCCGTTCGACATTGTATTTTGTCGGGAAAAGTTTGCTCTATAAACTGTCATCACTAAAATTAACTCAAAAATCGCTGAAGTGAACTGGTTTCTAACAATTTAAATTCCGAAAGCTTTTAGAAAACTTTTTCAGAAACCTGTGATTAAGGTTGAAGGCAACATGAATTTTGAGAGTAGCCAGAATAGGCTGCTCAACTACATACTTAGTCTCATCATCAACTTTTCACCAAAAGGCGACTATGATGTTTTGACCACAAAACGGGATATATGTAGGTTTGTAGAGGAAGATTTCCTCTATCTAGTGGTGTATATATTATCGAATTCTGTTGCGTACCGTGAGAGAAAATTAACGGTAACCCCTCTTTTTTTAGACTTTTTTCGACATATTTTTTATTTTTGAGTTAACTATTGTGCATTATAGAGTAACGTGTTCTCTACAAAAGAAGACCACTTCCAACTTTCCAAAGCCTTTCGTTGAGGAGATACGAATTTATTAAAGTTTGTTACTTTACTCTGAAAAAACCTTAGTTTTTTACTGTCGAAACATTTTTCTCGTTCGTTCAGTACTTGATAAACTTTTGAAACAGTCAATCTGGTAGAGTAATAATTTCTCCACAGAATGAGATGTATCCT